CCTCCCCTCTCCGCCGTCCCAGCCAGCCGCCCCGCCGCCTGTGCCGCGTCACTACCACACATTCACACACGCACCAAGGGGCGGGACCGCTGCACCGGGGCCCACCCACTCACCCTCCCACCTCCAGGCGTCGTGAGGAGTCTTGGCTTCCTGCAGGGCTGACAGCAGAGGAGGGAGGCAAGGGAGAGAGTGGGTAGAGACGCAGGATAAATGAAGGAGAACTGAGATGGATAAAGTAAATCTGGAGAGAAAGGGAAAGCGGGAGAGGCAGAAGTAGAGGTGCCGGGAAAGTGCAGTGGAATGGGTAGGAGAAGAGAGGCAGATAAGGAAAAAGGGGGAAAAGAGAGAGAGGCTGGGAGAATGAGAAAAAGGGAAGGTGGCAAAAGGAGAGAGAGAGATATTTAAAAAGAGGAATCATGGGTACTCTGAAGAGTCACGAATTCTTTTCCCTACGTCCAGCCATCCCAGAGGCAAGGGGTCATCTTAAAGACCTCTGGAAGAGAGGCCACACTTGCCTCTTTTGTATTCAACAACCTATTCTGCTGGGGAATTCCTGGAACACAAGTATCAAGGGATTATAAGAGGCCCTAGAGAACACCTAGTCCTACTCCTTCATTCAGCCAAAAGGAAACTTAGAATGGCAAGGTTGTTTATGCTGGGTTTTCTCTGGGAATTGGAGCTCAGGACAGTTTTGCCCACTCTAATAGGAACACAAAGTAAACAAACCGGAGCCTCTGTGTCATGGGCTAATGCTTCCAGAAACTTCTGGAGGGATTATATAAATGTTTGAAAAACATTTATTAAGTGCATGCTACTACCCAACACTGGGCTAAAATAAGGATGACTAGGATGAATTTTTTTACTTCTTGAAGCTTATGGTAAAGTAGGTCAAACTGGTAATCAATATTTAATTTTAATATACAACGGTGGTTATAAGTGATAAGATAGGAAGATGCTCAAAGTACAATAGGAGCCCAACAGCCTAGGGATCTAGGGACGCTTATTGGAGGAAATAACACTTGAAGTGGGAAGGATTTTCCAGAAAAGGGGAACAGTGTGAGCAAAAGCTCAGAGATATGAATCAGCATAAACTGAATCATTCATTAATTTCTACAATAAATGTACACAACACACCCACCAAGTTCGAAGTAATGTACTAGGAAGTAGGCAGGCTACACCTAGCATAGATAATAAGTTAGAGTTTCTATAATCAACAAGATTACAGTCTGGTAGAGTAGATATGGTATGCACATGATGACTAAAATACAAATCAAAATTTCTGTAAGAGTTCTGAGGCCAAGTTCCAGGGAAGAAGAGCTTGACCATGGGGGCCTGATAAGGAGAAAGTGTTATTCAAGCTGGGCCATGGAAACTGAGAAGGATAGACTGAATAGAGATATGTCAGACAGCAGGAACAGACTAAGGAATGGAAACTGAGCACCCAGGTTTAATTTGGCAGGGAAATGACCCTTTCCTCTGGGCTAAGAGTGCTCTTAACATATCTGCTGTAGTACTGTTCTGTTCTCCACACAGGTATCCATCAGGCTCCCTGGCTATCTGCTGTTCCCCAGGGTAGGTATATCCATAGGTAACATGTGTCTAGTGACCTGGCCAGCCAAGCCCATCTTGAATGACCTTATGGGAAGGGATCTGTGTTCTGAAAATATATTGGTTTCTCTTCATTTGTTATGTGTTTGTTTGTTTTTTAGCTAGAGAATATACTTTTATTTTTGTAGTTTTATACTAGGAAATCAATGTTTAATTTCATAATTCATTGTTCACAATTGATTTATAAAAATTTTAATCCTTAAATTGTACATCAGTATCCTATGACTCTAAATTTTATTTATCATTCTTCTTCAAGTTTGAAGAAAATGATTAATTTATTAAGTTCCACAGACAGCACAGTCCCACTGACATAACATTTAGTCTTAAGTCCTATGCTCATGTGAGAATTAAGAATAGCCAGTATCAAACTGGTCTGAAACCTGATTGTGTTTCTGGCTCAGGATCCACATTAAGACATAAAAATAAACTAGAGTGTGTATGTCATACAAAAAACTTTTCACAGTAGAGTATAAATTAACATTAAAATGTTACCAAGTTTCAACCATATTATGTTTTATCCAATTATCTTTCTTAATGCCTGATTTAACTGTGAATCAAATGCAAATAGCTTCATATAGGTTTTTTTAAGTTTGCTCAGAATTTCAAAAATAGTTACAGAATTAATTTAACTTTTTAAAATTTAAAAACATCAAAGTATGCTATACAGATTACACTCTTCTGCTAGGCTGGGCTAGTATCTTCCAGGGCAAGATACTAAAACTACTGAATAAAATATACTTTAAAATCAATAGGTACTTGATTAATTACCCTGAAATTATCAACATCATTGCCAAAATCTTCCAAGATTTTGTAGGATTTGATTTCTTAAATACATTTCAAAATTTAACATAAGAAAGGGGAAGAACCCTCATATGTTTCACTTTTTATGTCCTTTTTTTGGTCCTTCAATGACCAAAGAGAATTTTAAACAAGTTATGCTTCATGTTTCCTGGTTTAATAAAAGACTACAATTACTGGTATCCAGATTAAGAAAAACTATACTAGGCAAAAGCTATTAATTTTGAAATGTCTGTCTGTAGGTCCCCTTAGAACCTTTCCAAAATTTTATGATCACGTGCCTTTAGTCACTTATATACTAGAATCAAATTAGATAAGGAAAAATTATTTTGCAAAAATAAAGCCACTTCCCAATATGCTTGATAGAAACAAGCTATTCATATTTACTTGTGTTCCGTTGAAGACATTACTGAAATCCGTCCAATGTTTTATTTCCAACTGGTCCACTTCGGAATTCTTAGGAATGTTTTAAGATTGGCTGTAGCTAGAATTATGACTTCCATTTGGACTCTGCTCTCCTTCACTGTTCGGATGAGGTTTGTGTTTTGGCATCTTGCTAAGAATAGTTGCCATCTCTTTTCTCTCATCAAAATTCTTTCACAATTCATATAGTTTTAAAATAACCTTGATTATTTCTAAAATCTTCTCCATATCCACAGAAAACTACTATCTGGTATCTTCCTGCTGTGTAGGGGGCTGTTTCTCTCTTTTCCATGTCCCGCATGGAAAAGGAAACAGTCCATTTGCTGAGTGGAGGAGCTGGGGATTAAGAAATTAAAGAAAGACCAAGATGCAGAAATAGATTTTAAGCTGGGGCCAGGTGGGCGCCATCCTCTCTGATGGAGAGGCGGCAAAAAGCGGCCTGAGCCACACAGCAGGTTTATTTTAAAGGCCTAGATTTACATATCTAGTTCCGCCCCTGCCTGATTAACATGTCCAGCCTTATTGGGGAAGCATGTTCCCAGGGCGTGGCTGCCTATGCTCTGAGTTCAGCTGACAATAATTATAAGAAAATGCCTAGGTGCCTCCCAGGCGGCCCTCTACACTGCTGTACAACACAGGCTATATGTAGGCAAGTTAAAGCTATCATGAAAGGAGGATACAGTAAGCAAAGATCCATTCTGTAGGTATCATTCACTATCCTCCATGCAAGGGGAAGAAACATGTCTTCTTGACCTATACCCTGAACATACTGGAGCAAAGGTCTATAAGGATGTTACACTATCAAGCAAAAATCCATTAGTTCTAAAATATAGAATTCACATTCTAATATATGGTTCATCCTATAAGAAAATTCCTTTGGAAAGGCATATGAAAATCTAATTTTTAATACAGAAGTAGCAGCAGAATCAGTCTTATCCAAATTCCTCTACTTTGGATGCCAAAAACATACATGTAGGAGCCATTAATATAGGATCTATACTTTTCAGAGAATACCTGTCATAGAATATCTTGAAATAGACTGTAGCAGTGGCAATAACTTGTTGTCTTAATTTAAAATGTTCACCTAATGCTTGTAAAACATTTGTAAAAATATTTGTAATTTCCAATATTCTTCTTCTGAGAGAAACGTTAAGTCCTTCTGGCATTCCATCCACAGATCTTTTTCGTCAAAAATCCATTGCAAATGATGGGAGCTCTGCTGAAAGTTGCCTGCCATGGGACACAGCTTTCCCTGATTAAAAAAAAAAAAAAATGGTTTCATCGCTGTCTCTGTGGACTATTGAGCTGCGTGGACTTTGAAATGGAATATCCACTGTTGCAAAGAATTTTCTCGAGCATTGCCATATTTCACAGATAAGTTTCTAGCTGAAAAAGACTATGAAATGCTGGCTAGCGGTTAAGGACATTGCCACAGACTATAGAAGGGTCAGGACAAACCTCATAAGCTTTCGTTCTACCGTGATGGAGACAAAATAGAATGTCACCATGTTCCTGAGTTTACAGGACACAGACATTCTGTCGTTTCGCTGAATATGCAGCACCATTTGATATGGACATCTTCATCTGCTCATCCATGGCAGAAAGAATAATGTGCATGCTGCTTTGACTAGAGTATTGTTTCAGGTAAACTTGAGTAAATGGAGAGAAGAGTTCAGGAAGATGAGCCCATAGAGGTTTATGAACTCTCGAGATCATCTCCCAGTTGTACATGCATGGATCTGACCCTAAATACTAGTAGCATACCATAGACTTAGAACTGCTCTAAGAAATAGATCATCACCCAAGTCCCAGACTGGCCACTGGGTGGCACATATATGCAGTAGATCTGAATAGCACTGCAAAGACTTTGAAGAGGGAACTGATGTTGAAAACAATCCACAATAGGTTGGTCAGAACTTGTGACCTGAACCAAAACAAGTCAGTTGCCTCCTAACACAAAAATATCAACATTTTCCCTAAGGTTTAAACAACACCCATGATCTCATATGTACAAGATACAATCCAAAATTACTTTGCATATGAAGAATCAGGAAATCTCAACTTACATGTGAAAAAAATAAGTCAACAAACACTAATGCCCAAATGC